CGCCGAGTGTGGCCCCGCGCTTGAGGGCGACGAGGACACAGAGATGGAGCGGGAGCCGCTGCCGCCGCCGTTGCCGCAGCAGCAGCAGCAGCAGCAGCAGCAGCAGCAGCCGCTGCCGCCGCCGCCGGAGCAGCAGCCCGCAGGCGGCGCCGGCGGCGCCGGCAGCTTTGGCGCCCCCGCCGGCCCCGGCCTCGGCTTGGCGCCCGAGCCGGCCTCCCCGCCGCCGCTCCGGCCGCAGGCGCCGTTCGGCGCGCTCGGCCCGGGGCCGCCGCCGCTGCTGCTGCAGCGCGCCTTCCCTGCCGCCCCCGTGCGGGCGCCAGAGAGCCCGCCGGCGTCGCAGCGGCACGGCGTGCGGCGGAGGGCTCCATGGCCCGCGGAGGCCGCGTTTCTCGGGGGCGGCGGCGGCGCCAGCAGCGGTGACTCATCTGCCAGCTCAGTGTCGGGGCAGCCGATGGAGGAGTGCGACCCCTAAGCACCGCTCTGATTTGATGTGATGCGATCCGTCCTGATTAGATCGCATCTGATCAAATATGGGGTCTGCAGCCAGGGGCTGGCGCCGCGCTGCCGCGGCGGGCGTCCCAAGCATGGGGGCGCCTGCCTGCGGCGCGGTGGTTTTTTCGATCCCCGCCGTAACCTCCAGAGGCCGCCCCAGCCACGTCGCCGTCAGCCGCATGTCTGCGGCAGGCTGTCATGCACCCGCCGCGGGCTCCGTGTGCACTCTGGCGCAGCTCTGCGGCCACCCCCCGGCCATCTGGCCCCCCAAACGCCCTAGCCGGTGCCCCGCTTTGGCCCCCACACCCTTTTGTCGATGCAGGGCGCCGCGCGCCCCATCGTGCGGGCCACGCGCTGCGCATCCCGGCTGCCTTTCGGCGCCCCCGCACCGGCGGTGTCTCCATCTTGCATGTGGTGCATGCATCCTCCGGGCGGCGTGGTCGCCGCGCGCATGCGTGGAGCCTCCCCCGCCACGCCCCCGGCCTTCTCGCCGCTGCCGCTGCTAATCGCGCGCAGCACCTCGCTCGCAGAATCGCGAACGCGCACGCATGCAGCTGCACGCCTTCCTACAGAGAATGCTCATCCGCTGTTCACCTCGCTACTCAGCCGTTTGTTTGCTCGTTACACTTGTGTGTTTGTTGGCATGATCAGGGTTGGGCAGACGCGGCGCAGGCGGGAGCATCCCAGTGCCTCACACTGCGCTCCTTTGGCCCCTCAAGTCAGGTTTTGGGCGTGACTGCTGAACTTCCCCCTTCCAGAGCCGCGAGCGAGCGCGAGAGAGCCCGCACGACGCGGCACTGCTTCCCTCAACACCCCTCCACGCGTCAGACCGCCCGCGCCGCCCCTGGCGGGGCCC